TAGTTAGCCTGTTATCTCTAGATCCGCCCTGGCATTAACTTATGAGGGATTGAAGCTGTCAAAATGAGAAAAGAATTGTGAAATTAAAAGCTTAAATACAAACAATCTGTGAGTGACAGGCTCCAGTGACTGATGAAAAGACAGCAGATATTTTAAAGTTAGAAAATGCCCAATCACTTAATTTCAAATACTGGATACTTGGGAACAGCTGATGATAAATCACAGTAAAGGTAGACATAGTCCATACACATCAATTAAAATTTCCGGCAGTTGACAGGGTCTAACATCCAGCTGACAGGGTGAGGGAATTAAATTAAACCCATGCATGTATTTCAATCAAAAAAATATGTTTTCAATGCTGGCTGTGTTACACTACCATTCTATTACACAGGCAAATAATTAACCCTTTCAAAGTACATGTTTTTTTAGATATTCATACCCCTCCAATGATATTGGAATGGTCCACATCAAAAAGTCATGCTCAAATTATAATGTACGAAATACTTTTAAAAAAGGCACACAATTTTGTTTTTGTGTGATTGTAACAGAAATAGTGGATTGTATGTATTCTGCCGTGTAAAGTATTTTCAATTCATTACATTTCATTATGGTAAAAGGTAGATGGCATCGTAGAAAACCGATAAGTGATATCAATAATTCATCAGTCTTTTTTAAGATTCTCACATGCATTGATAGCGACAGTCTCGCTACTCGGTTAGAAGTTGATAAGAAATTTAATAACAAGGGTTTTATCTTCTTTCATATTCTTAACGCAGCAAGCAATATTTAGAGACAACTCGGCAGCACACTTAATACATCCCAAGTAAATCAAAACTAAAAGTACATGTAAAGTGATGGCCTGAGAAGCAGGATAAATAAACAACTGTATTAGTGATTTCTTGAAGTACGAGTCTGTTTTCTGAGTCACTGCATAACTGAGTATAAATGCCATTTATATCCCCGCGATAGTGATCGATTTTTTTTTTTTACTGCTGACTGATGAATAAAACCACTATAAAACACAAGGGAAATTTTACTATCGCACCCAAGACTACTTATGAACACATGACCTTCTATTTAACTTAATTGCTGCAGCAATTCTGCTCAAAATCTTATTACTTTATCCACTGCATAGGTGTAGTAAACTCTAAAACATTTTACGATTTCACATAAAAAAAAAAGATGTATGCAAATTCAGCAAGTAGGTCATTAGTTCTTTTCTCAAGTTTTCACTCAAAGACATTGTTAGAGTGGTCAGCTTCTAGAGTAAACTGAATAACAGGTAAATAGCCATAATTAAGACAGACAGGTCAGTCATTTGATTTCATTCTATATTCAAGACTGTCCATCAAACAATTTGCTTGAAGACAAAGGTACAATAAATGGTACAACAAGCAACATCTGCTGGTCACAGGATTTTCTTTTTAAAAGACTGGCTATATTTTTGTATTCATAATATGCAGAATTGTAATCTTGTTTCAACTCAATTAACATGAATAAGATACCAGAGTAAATTAGATGACCATTTATTTGCATCTGTAGTACGAATATTTTGTGCTCTCAAATTGTTTTTTTGATGACTTATTACATACTGTTACAATTGTCACTACCAATTATAACGCATAAATGTGTTCAGCAAATATGTATAAAGTTGATAAATTTACAGAAACCCAAATTCACTGAAATAGACCAAAAGCAGGAGCTGAATCAGTGGTGTTCAAAATACACTGAAAACTTGCAATAATTTTTTTTATATATTTCAAATATATGCCTATTTTATTTTTCTATATAACCATCACAATTATTAACTAACACTAACAGCTTAACAACAGTGAGGGCTCCCTTCAAAATGCTAAAAATAGACCAATAGCTATAGCTACGTCTGCGCAAGAATGGAATACTCTTGATTGATTTACTTCAGGTACATGTAGTATGAATGTTTTATTTGAAATTTAGTTACATCATGCTAATGTCTGTTCAATGTACCCGACTAATTAAATAATGAATTAAATTCAACAGTGGGGAAAAATCAAGAATTGCATTATTACATTTCACTAGACAGTTCTCAGACATGGATTTGTCAACGGTGTAATTTCCCACATGTACTATCACCATTTATCATTGCTTTTACTCATATAAATAAAATTATTTCATTTGTGAAACATTGTCTCCTACAATCAGAATCGCATAGAAATGATAATAGCTTTCACTGACTAAAACATATTTTAATTAAAAGAGTTGACAGAACTATTCCCTAGATGGAAAAATGAAAACATTTTTGTGTATGAACTACTATGAATAAACCAAATAAAAAACAAACATTCAAAAACACATTGGCGGAATTATTTCCAAATAATGAAAAATGTAAACAATTTTTATGTTGTTTTTTATGGGCAAAAAAAATTTCAAGCAACTTTCAAAAACATAATAAGATTTTTATCTGATCAGTGTACTGATATTATACTGTCTCATATTTTAAACATGAATTATCAGTTTGCTTACTGTGGGTCCACACCCAGGGTTTCTTTGAAGTTCCTCGATAATAGTTTTTTGCTATCTGAGCTCCACTATTTGGCTGATAAAACAGGTAAATCATGGTGCAATCATTGCCTCAAAACCCACTAGATAACAGGTTGATCAAGTCAATGACGTACAGTTTACCAATATTTGAAATGCTTATGAAGTACACATGAGAATGATAAGACAAAATACACTTTAATTAAACTAAAGTAAAGTCTTAACTATATATAAACACAAGACTATGAGATGTCTAATGTTGGTAGCCAGCTACCTGTTGTGCATGTAATATAGATGTTGGTGTATTTTACGCATTGCTGGAGATCCCCATAATACTATGTATATTTGTTTGCGGATACCAATGACAATAGATTACTACAAAGAAGACTGCTGGCAGGTACATTGCCTAGAGTCTACATCAACAATGTGCAAATCGGTCACAATAATATGCAACAGCAGCCTGAACAAAATCACCAGAGGCCAGCAATGGTTGGTTATTGTGTTACTCTCCAGAGAGGAAACAATCTGTGGGTGGCCAATGCATGGTGAGGAAAAAAAGGAGACCTGTTTACTTTTATCATTGCCCAGTAATGTAAGAATAGAAGGCTCCAACAAACCTTTTGTGGACATTCACAATTCTGACTTTCAAGTTCTCCCTTTTCTTCTAAACATAAACTAACCAACAAAAGTACACTGGTTTTTAATTACTTTCCCCATCTGGTAGAGCGTACATTTTTTTCAGACAACCTAGTTTATGTGCAACGATACCATAATTGCATGTATATCACAATGACAAGTTGCCCCTCGGGCCACATTAAAAGTTGTCAGCCTTTTGAGTTTAACAATTGATGATATCCTTTGACAAAGATAGTTTGTTATAACCATTCGGTATTGTTTTTTTTCAGAAAAGTGCAATTTCGTTGTTGGGAATAGCAGTTAATATTACAGTCCGTGTGATTTTTGTGCTTGGGTGGGGCAATATATTGGCACTGTTTCACAATCATGAAAGTAAAATGAAAATATATAGATGTATTGAAAAGGATGAATAAAACATAGATTTCAACATTCTTACTAGTACTGCGGTTTAAGTAGTTATACAATTTGGTGGGCGTAGCAATTATTTACATCTGAGTAAAGGGCAAGAGACTATGTATTCACAGCCCCTTATTGTCTATTGCCAGATTCATACTAAATTCCACTAGAACCACTTGCAGTAGATCTGGGGAGTGATATTACACTGCCAGACCAATTGCTTATTGTGTGACCACACTTAAATTGGTAATCTTTAATTTCAGAAATAAAATGATATGCAAAGGGGGAAATTCACTGGCAAGGGTTTTGTCTAAATACAATCTAGTGATGCTTGCATGGTTTCCGATGAAAATACACACATGATTTAGATCTAATTAACAAATAAAAGATTGATACACACACAATGCCACAACATAGCCTTTGAAAAAAAAAAAACAATGCAGTCTGAATATATGTTTACCAACCATCACTATGGATATTATCAAACCCCAGAACAGCAAGGCAAAGTAGTTAAGATTTCAACCCAGCGATCTTATTATTCTGGTTCAACAGCGTAAAGACATCACTCAGTGTTCTGTCAAATTACCGTGACAAAAACCTCAATAACAACACTAATTCATTTAAAGTTTCATGGTTCAAAATGATAAATTACAAGACTCAGAGACATTGATCTAACCTATATCATATGTTGATAAGCTGTAAAATAGATCTTGTAATTGCTCAGTAAGATAGACATCAAATATTCATTAACAAATTTATCATTAACATCATGCTCGTATTAAATTTTAAAAAAATGTCTGCCATTTATAGTACATGTATTGTCTAACCATACAATGTAAAAGACAAAAGCAAGAGTCTAATTTCAACTCAAGAATTAAACTAGTCACAAATTGCAGGTAGCTTAAATTTCTAAAATTCATTAAAAAAAGTTTATCTGCAGGAAATTACATATTAATTTATTTGGAAAATTTTAATCAAGTGAAAGGAAGATTACCGTAGGTCCCTTGATAGACAAAGCATCTAAAGGAATACTTTTCTGATTATTTGAAGTTGGAGACAAAACTTATTAAAGACTATGGTACTTGTTTGAATAGTTAAATTATCATAATGACTAACAGAACACTGGCAAAAATGTTTTCTAGAGATATATACCAGCGATCTTTCCAGTCATTTATAAAATAAAAAAAAGTGTCATAAATTATGAAACGAGCATATTAGAAAGATACATATACACGATATGAAGTATTCTCCAGTGTAATAGTAACATAAAGAATATTTGAACTAAATTCATAATTAATTTTCAATATTTCCCAACATGGTGTCACACTGTATGTAATATACAGTAGGTTGCAGGAATACTGATTATTATGACTTAGAGCAGGACAAAATGGATAGTCAAAATAGCCAATATGGTTTTTTAGACATGTCGCAGCAAATAATCAGGTACTTACCTTGCAAAGAATGAAGCAGCTGCAGAAGTATTGGAAACTGTGCTAGCATTAGAACTCATTGGTGATGATTTACTAACATTGGTTAAGGCCAGCATACCATACTGTTGATTTGGTCTGCTACTAGATGCATCAGATAAAGCACTAGATTTACTACTGCCTGCACTACTGTGGGAAGCCTGTTATGAAAAAAAAAACACAAAAACAAATTCAATATGGTTTATTTAAAAATGCAAAAACAACTGAATAGAAATGGTATTTTGACTATATAACTCGGCAAGGGAAAGAATATGCCATTTATATCGCATCAACATTTCCACAACAATTCAAATCCTATGAAAACAGTAGTGAAATGGAAATTCTGAATATGACATGTTCACACATGGCCCAAAACAACTCCACCCACTTGATTTACTGTGCTACAAGAAAACAAACCATGATTAAATGATAGCTGTTAACAAGTTTATGAACAGTCAACTCTATTTAGTCACTTTTACTACTCAAGATACAGAAGAAAGTAATAAAATGGACACTGGTGCCAAAAAACAGAATTACAGGTATTGTACCAAAACAGTGTATATCAACTTGAAATCAGTGTTTAAATCATTTCCCAACTGCTTGTGAAGCTGGAGTAAGTACAAAAGAAAAAGCACGTCACTTACGCATTCTTCATGAAAATCCTCACGAGAGGCAACTGGTAAACCTCCCTGCTTGTTCCCTAACATACTGACATGAATGCAGTGTATTGTCCCTCACAATGGTCAGTGCACTGATGACAGTCACTGAGGGGACGGTTTTGACAACTGTTACCAGTACAAGAATTCACACATGCATTTTTAAACCATGTATCAAATCACAAATTGCCCACTCTAGTGTATGTGAAAGCACACCAGTGGGAGTGAGTAAAATTCTGCTGGTTGGTTGCTAACTGCCCATACACTTCCATTAAAGCCTTTAAAGGTGATCTTACTATAATGAAATATTCATTTTTCACGAGGACAATATATGAATATTTCATAAAATTCCATTCAAATACATGTAACCATTGGCTAGCATGGATTCTATGAATATTTAATCTCACACTCTCTTACTGCATATTTAATCAACTGTTTTACAACCAAATGGATGAGAAAAAGCGAAGCAAGAATTACAAAAATACAGTTTTCCCTTATCCCACTTCCTGTAACTATATTTATTTAAACTCATGCAGGTGCCAGAAAAATTTAAATGATTTCCAGTGAATTACTTTATTGATTTAATTAATTGATCCTAATTAAGGAAAATGTTCAACAATTTGATAAGAATTGCAAGTGACAGATAATGTCATGAATAATATGTAGGCTAGAAACAATTTAATTTTCTCACTGCACAGACTGTCAATTGAATATCCCATCAAATTTGTTAAAAGAGAACAGAAGACTGGGTTTTATGCATAGCTGTAGAATGGGGTAGAAAAAATATTTTATATTTAATACTGCTTAGATCTCTAATCAGAGCCAATAATAGCCAATTCACTATGCAACGAAAATATATATGAAATACAGATTTTTTATATATAACAATGACGAATTGACCATTTATCAATATTAGCACGATTATTGTCATATCACAATCAACCAATATTTGAAGTTTTATGAGCAAAGTTGCGAAATATCAATTTCTAAATTAGGTGCGAAATTTATAGTCTTGTACTTGAACTGTGTTTGAGTAGTTTTATTGCATGGGCCAGCATTTTATTGCATGTCCATTAAATCTTTCTTTTATGATTGACATCTGTTGCAGAACCCATCACAGAACAGCTTTACAAAGCAAATCCACTAAGTAACAATAAAGATGAAGGACGACATCCCAACCTCTTTCACACATTATCAACATCAATTATAGTATTATAATACCTCCTATAATACTTTATCATACACCAGATTTTTTTCCTGTGTTTTTTACTGAACATTCAGCTTCACCCACCTGGAAAGGCAATTTTTCTAGTGGACTATTAAGTTACGAAGGTTGACATATGACCACAATTAAAACCACAAGTAGCTAGGTATAATGTGAGAATTTCAATTCTTTTTTTTTTACTCTCAAATTAAAGCAATGGTAGACTTAGCTTATCTAGTAATGGGCTCTATCAAAATCCCAACATTCAGTATATAGAATTAAGGTTCAAGAACTTTACTGAAAAACAGTAACTAGTAAATTTAAGAAAAAAGAAGCCCTGTAATTCCATATAAAACGCACACCACAACAAACGCACACACTTGATTTTGCTATTGTGTTTTTTTTTGTATACTTTTTCTTTTTTCTAGACTTGCATCCCAGCCCAGAATTTCAACCCAGGGGATTAAGGGAGTTTTGAAGCTCAATAAAATTAAAAACAAAGCCAGCTACAGCTGTTCTCAGCTCAGCAAGCAGATGTTCTCAATGAAATTTCTAACTGAATAATACTTAAAAATAAGTAGTATTGTTAGCCAGCGATTTGACGGAAACTGACCTGGAACCAGAATAGCCAATGGAAATACAATCTATATGCTGCAGATGTTACAGGGTGAATAGAAGTGCATCAAATCCTTTCATACTGTTTAGCTAAAACCAATAGTGAATTGTAAACACCTACCGATCTACTAGAATAGTGTTCAAACTCAGAAATTAGCCATGGTAGAAAGGTCTTGAGATCACAGACTAGAGGGGAAACGGTTGCAGCAGTGCTGGCCATTGCTGCTATATCATAAGATGATTTCTGACAGTGTGTTGTCTTTCGTTGAATTGTAAGCCAACAAACTTCTTTTGAAAAGTAGAATGATTGGCAGTTTTATTACAAATGGACTAGACCATTATCCTATAGGTTGGGAAGAGCCATGAAACCCCAACAGTATCCCCACTTCAGTATCTAGATACTTTAAACAGAAATCTACAAAAGTATACAGTGATATGAATCTTCAAGGAAATATTACAGAACTAAATGATGCTTTCATCAATGTTGATTAGAAATGCCACCCCTCGTCCTAATTAGTTGCATTAGCCAAGATTATTTGTTCAAAAGATGTTGATACATGGGCAGGGTCAGGAATAAGGTTGGAGAGAAAACCAATCCAAATTAAGTCAACATTCATAAACTTGACAGTAATCATAAATCTTTCAGACTCAGGGACAGTCTATTCACCCCGTCCTCCATGAAGGTAACAGACTTGATTAGTCCATTCACTTGCAGATAAAAGCGGGGCTTCGCTATTTTTACTGAACAAACTGGGAGGTCTTAATGGCCCCTGAAAGAAAACTTTTATGGGCTGTATATCTCGCATCGGAAACACAGAAGTATCATTATTTCAGATAATTTGGTACGGAAAGTGTCCTTCAGTTAACAAACACATTTCTAATTTAACTGTCCTCTTCGCACAGACTTGCTAAGTACCTAGTACATGCACTTTCTAAATGATTCTTATCAATATTAACAAGTGCCAGATAATGACATAGTAGCAAGTGCAGCCTATCCTTGTTTGCCTGGTCAGCTTCATTTCCAAATTAATACAACCACATGCTGGCAAATCAGACGGTACACCTGAGTCAAAGTTGGCTTATTAGAACCTCAGCCACTTGCCTAAACAAAAAACTTGAGGACTGGAAATTCTATACTTTGTCTACAACCAACAGTCAGTCACTCTTGAAACCACCCAGTCAACCATACAGGCAGTCTAAACAGTGTACCAGGAAAGAAAGTAGCTATGCTGTATCTTGGGAATTAACACCAAACAACTGCATTGCCTGATAAGACTACTTAGTTTCCAACTTGAGAGCCTAAGTACTGTTTAATAAAGTGACTTCTCAGTTTGTGAAATCAATGGTTTTGTTGTGTTCTCTAAATCAATGTTTCTAGGGTTAACTGCGAGATGGCTAGTTACAAGGATGCTATAGTTTGCTAATGTTGATAATAATTATCTAAGAATCCTGCTCTCTTTCTGTCTAAGGATGTTGTGTTCAAGTTTCATATACTGATTGAGTATGACAGTAAATTAATATGCATTGCAATATATAATGTAACTAAGCCTATTACCCATGTGGAAAAACTTGAATGAACTCAGCAAGTATGATAAATGTACTAAAAGAGGTTAAAAAGCTAAGTGGTGCTAAAATAGCTATTATTAACTGTGACTGAATGAAATAGCGTATGCACCAAATATTTTCACTCCAGGCTGATCAAGAAGTGAATACAAAAATCAATGGTAATACAAATTGGTACCAGACCAAAAAACAAACAAGTATGCAGCAAAACAAACTCAATATTTTAAAAAGAGAAAAGCGAAGAAAAAATAAGAAAAAGTCAAATCCAACTACACAAACTATTGTCCCACACATATATTTTTCAAGGAAAAACAAAAATTGAGAGAAGCGAAAAGAGTACTTACAGGATGGTGAGGTGGAAAGGCACTTGTAGGTGGATTATTCCAAGCTGATGCAGGCTGCATTGGCACTGGCAAGCCACTGTGTCCATCACCTTCAAGATACTGTTGTGCTTGTGCAGCTAGTTTCATTGAAGACATAGCATTGCCAAAAACACCTTTGGTTTGCCTTGGGCGGGAGTGAGCAGCGGATGATTTATCATGGGAATGATACATATAAAGGCATCGCTGCAAGGAAGAGAGATTGCGAGATCCCACTAATGCTGGGATATTATTCAGAGAAGAGGTATCGCCACTAGAATGCGCTTTCTCCAGGGAATGCACCATGGCAACTGCCTCTTGTTTAAGTTGGTTAAGGTGTGTTGCACAGACTTCGCAGCGGTTGTCCGTCCATTTCTGAGAGGTGTCAGGCACTTGAAGTTTTTCATGCAAGGTGGCTGATAGTTCATTGTCCTGCAATTGAATAAAGAAAAAAAGACAATATGTTAACACAGTTACTGACTGAAATGAGATACATAGTAAGTTGAAAAACAAAAACAGAAACACACCATAGTAGTTGTTGAATGAGTACATGTGTAAACCTCCATTGGAATAGTCTTGTTGGTGATAAAAAATCACCCACAAGTAAAGCTTGACAGTTAAATCCTCTGGCTTATTCAACTGGGACGTTAGGTCGAATCCATGCATATTCTATTGTCTTCAAATTGGAATCTGTTACAACTTTTCTATTCTCAATTTTCTTAATAGGACCAATGACTTCAGGCATAAGTGATCATTCACAATGATTCGGTCATCCATGCCCTCTGATGTACAGATAAAACTGAACTGGCAACAAACAGGCAAACAAAAGAAACACGCCTGGGATATCCCATTATATGGAAGGGGAGTCAGGGAGGGGGTCCCTGGAGAGGAGGAAAGCTAACCTTTATGCAATAACACTAATGAGAAACATAGCTGAGAATGAAATGATGCAATTTTATATTAAGACAAATTATCAATAGTTTTCCTTTCACATGCTGGAATAGCAGTGTGTACCAAGCTCAGTGAATATAAGGTGGAACATGGAGCTCCATGGGTGGAAGAAGTGAGGGTGTTATTTGACACCATTAACTTTGTAAGTGACATCATATAACACAAAGGGGAGTCAACCAAAAGCAACAGTGATAGCCTTATTCAGTAGATGGCTAATTAAATCACACACTTCCCAACAATGTCATGAACACTCTCACTCATGATGGCCGACAGCTGAAATTCTGACTACTTTTATTTATTTTCATTACACACTTTCAAGTGATAAATTAAAAGAAATAATATCCAGTTAACAGTTCACAGTGATGTTTTCGCAAAAAAAAAAGTAGTCCTGGACATCATATTATTTCAATCTTTTGGTACTGCTTACACTGTGCTCTTGGATGCTTAACCCTTACGTGGTCAAGACCAAGTGAAAGTACATGGGACTGACAAGATTAGGGTTAATGTGAATTCATTTTAATGAGGCTACATGAAAATTGCTCTGAGAACCCCGTCTTTTCCAATCTCTTCCTCAGAAAGTGAAAAGAAAATGTCAAGTTCCATGAGACGTATTATTTTACCAACATGATTTTAAATATTACAATATGAGTAAAGCTTCATCAGTTGGTGAATTATTCAAGTACTGGTATCACCATAAATCAACTACACAGTCTTAATGAACAACAGTTTGAAATTCAGCCAGACTACTAATTGCTACCATACGCAACATGGGGACACATACAAACGGATGTAAATTGTATGGACAAGAGTATGAAAACAAGTAACTGAATCGCATGCTGGGATACCCTCAACCCCATAAGCACATGTTGAGCTAACAAGTAGCACATAAACAAATATCAGACCAATACTGTTACTATGTGGACTGTAGCCATACATTATTAAAGTATGCTATGACAGCTAGAAAAGCCATGCATGAGTGAGTATTGAATTGAAAGCAAAGGAAATAGCAATTAATTTCTAATGACAACATTTTGATTGCATACACCAAACCCAATTCATTTAGAGTTCTGTTATTTTTCATTCAGAGTATGCCAATCAATATCTGTATCGGTAGATTTACTTTTTAAAAATTTAAAAATAACTCTTATATCGTTATCAGGGATTGTTTTCAAAATTGTAATTCTCAGTTTGCTGATGGTGGCATGAAATTCTACATGTTTATCGTAAGGGTCATTTCAGTGGGCAGGCTCTCACACAATAATCACTTAGAATAATAATAACAAACCTTATGATAACATGCAAGGGAAATTATTTTGTTTGTGAGGAAGCCAAATAAGCTCTCCTTCCTACACTCTCAAGTAATAAGGGATTACTAATTGAGAAATAACAGGTATTTGGAGCTTGTACAATTATCAGGGAAGACCATATATTGATTTGATGACGTTTGCAAACAAGTATGTGTGAATAAGGCAGATATGCTGCACAGCTTTGTCAATAAAAATGTAAAATATCTAAAACTGATATGTTGGGTATTGATTACAATGAGAAGCCTGATCTATTTTTATGTGTTTTTTGGGACTAAACCAATTGAAAATGGCGCCCTCTATCAAAAATAATCATGGATATATTAATTTTTATAATAAAAATCATAACATATTAATTTTAAAAGTTAAAGTTTACCAAAAATTATGTATTTTGCAAATCAATTGGAGAGATGGTCATGGAAATATCAAAACAAGAATTCACAAGAATTCGGAAGCACTATAATACAAACTGCAACATTTGATTTAAAAATAGCTAGACTGTCTGCTGTTAAATGAAGGATAAACCAGTCAGGAGAAGAGCTCCTGGCAGCGTTCCTATACGAGATCCCAATTACCAATGGCATATTAAGTTAACACTTTAAGTAACTGTGTATTATTTTTAGAACATTCCACTTTCATACTGTAACAAGGATTAACATTTGTTTTCAAAAATCACTTTGGGTTGGACCAACCTGATTTATTTCAAAGGAGAGAAGGGGAGGGGAAAGGGGAGGGTCTATCTAAAATAAGATGAAACCTCTCAATTGTCTAGAGCTCAGAATCTATTTGTCATATGTATTAGTAGCCACGCAGAACAATGAACTACATAGTATTATGCGTATTGTGGTATCCATATTTTTGCATCATTTATTACGTCCTACCAGTGGTTTAGGATATTCACAGGAAACCCTGCAATTCATTAGTATCATTATAGTCCCAGGAGGTCAATCACTGCTCCTCCTAGCTACTATTTATGTTTGTTCTAAGATGTGTTGGGTCAAGGAGACAAAACACTGGCTCTCAACTCAGAGAAAGTTTTCATATAAACTTTCACAGGGATTTGATATCCATGTTTGCAATGCTGCTTACAGTTACCTTCTACCTTCTGTGTACTAATGTCCTTATCAATATTCACAGCCATTATGCTTATGAAAACCTTAAAATATTATGTAAATATACATTAAAATATTGTTAGAGTTCAGAAAATGTTGGGATGGTCAAAGAAGTAAAAATCGAAGGATAGGCGTTTTGAAAATTAGGACAGGACTATAATCACATAAGAGTTTTGCCCTTGAACTCAGAATCATGAGAGAAGGCCATGTCAAAATAAATCAAGCAGGCTAAACCCACACCAAGACCTAGACCATATAATGGACATAAATCTCTCACTATCCATTACTTAAAGAAAATAAGGTCCATTATGGGTGGGATACTGATTATTCATCTGAACTTCCTCTGCATCAATGACAGTGACAAACTATAATACCGGTATTACTGTTGCTACCATAAAAAATACAATGCACTACAATAGGAAGAGGAAGTAAGATCAAAGAAGAAGCTTCAATGTGGTGCTGAAGGTATTGTAGGGCGAGGACATGAAGAGAATATGATATGAAAATACCTCACATTAATTTCAAATGAGCTTCATGTCGGCTGGCATACTCCACTATGATGTCATGCTTGGATCAGCACATGGCATGTGATCACTGCATGCCCAAGCATAAAATGAGGGGATTGAATGATGTAGAGATTTTCACTAAATTTTAAATTTACTGGTTTGTGACAGAAACAATACATTCTATATTTTGAATATTCACTGTGTTTATATTCAGTTCATTTAAACTGCCAGTAAAAAGAAACAAATAAGTAAAAGCAATCACATTGGGCCAAATAGTGGATATATTTTACTTAAAATTACGTGCAAATGAGCTCCATGACAAAACAATATCAGTTAAGTTTGACTAATGCTTAACACAGAATTGGCCCAATAGTCATTGGAAAAGCTGAAGTTAAGAATTATGCCAAAGAGCATGTTAATAAGTTGAATTTCTATGTTACATAGTCTATCCATCACAAATAATTAACAATTAGGTATTTTCCCCAACACTGAACATGGGAACAAGTAACATAAAAGTGGAAGGGTGGTCACCTGCGCACGCACGGGAATCGAGTCTCAAGCGACGATAACAACACGCGCCAAAAAACGCAAAGGCTCATGGGTAGACACTTGTTTGTAAGCATTGACACGCTATGGCCATCTGACACGTATGCAGGTGACGACTCCCCCGCTTTAACCCATATTACAAGTTGGAGTCACTATGATTATTTTAAAATTAAAATGTCAATCAAACCATTTTATTTATATTTTCTTTTATCTAACCTAGGTGAAGATGGATATGTCAACTTTTAATTTAAAGACATCTAATTTCAAAAAATATTTTAATCAAATGTTACACACTTTGAAATAAGCCAGTTATAAGAAATAAGTTGGACAAAATCAGTTCTACAATTCTAGACACCAGGGCTGGAGCGTGATCTCACGTTCACTGAACATACCAAAAGCATTATTCTATTTTTTCGGCACTTTCCGCCGGCTGAGCAAAAAGGAAAAATACTTGCATTCCAGGGTTAGTATGTACTTTGCTATCTGGTAAAGTATTTACTACATGAATACATGGCAAGGAAGCATTACTACAACACAATAGACTGAAACTGAACTCTTAAACCTAAGTTTAGATTTAAAGCACCTTCTTATTGTAGGTATTATCTCACCATGGAAACATGACATGATTTCTATGACTTTTCAATTTTAAAGTCCCTCTCCAGACAGTTTAACATGGTCCAAGTCTTTCCCATGCAAAGACAAACAAATTAACAGCACCAATCGTTAAAGTTGCTGCTCACTCATCATTAAATTGAAAATATTTTTATTTCAGATTTGTATAAGATGAGGGGGGTGTTACTAAGTATTGCCAATCAACAATAAAACAGATATGTACCGAGCAACCTGAGAAGAGAAAACAAACCAGACTAATTTCAAAATAAAATGACTTGTATCCAGGGCGTGTAGGTATGAAGTCAGCTACTTATCCACAGGTACATGTAACGGTCACTAAGTTGTTAATAAATATACACTCAGCATGTCTGTTCAACATTCAGTTTGGTGAATTGGAGAAA